CAATGTTCCTTTTTCCTGCAGCAGAGGAGGACATCCTCGAGAGATGGGATTTTCCAAAGCCTGATGTCCTAGGGTGGGACCAAGGAGAGGTTCACCTACCCTCTACAGGTATAAAAAACATTTGAGTTGGACTTAGGAGAGGTCCTCCACCTACTGAAGGACTCTCCTCCCCAACACCACCTCAGCTGAAGTAAACAATTCATGCGCCTGGCAAAGGAAGGGTGCACTTTCCAAGCGGCCACCTTGTAAACTTCCTTCAGCAGGGAACGGGAACTGGTGGCAAAGGAAGGGTGCACTTTCCAAGCGGACACCTTGTAAACTTCCTTCAGCAGGGAACTGTTATGAAATGTGGTTGATGTGGCCCCATTCCTAGCGGAGTGAGCAGTGATGCCTCAGGTCAGCCTTGAACCAGAAGTCTAATAGCACGAAAGCTATCAGCCACCAAAAGAGAAATGATTTAGAGAATCCTGTTTTCCCATGGTGGACGTTGGAAGGACACAAACAGGCCTAAAGTGATGGGGACTAAAGAAAGGTAGCATCACCTCATGTTATCTGTGAAAGTTTATCTTTCAGACAAAGGAAGAATTGAGAGGCACGTGCGTGCGTGCGTGCGTGTGTGTGTGTGTGTCCTCCTTAAATCCATTTATGCTAAATCTTCATGAGGCCTAAAGTGATGGTAGAAAGAAAGGTAGCATCACCTTTTGTTATCTGTGAAAGTTTATTTTTCAGACAAAGGAAGAATTGAGAGGCATGGGATAACTGCCTTTATGAATAGTACATAGTTCTGGCCACACCAATAATGCTCATAGCTCATATACCCTCATGGCTGGCATGATGTTCACAAGGAAAAGAGATTTCCATGTTAGAGGTTTTGAGAAACTTTGCTAAAGTAGTTCAAAGAGTGGCTTTATTAAAGTTTCCAGGACCATGTGGAGACCCCGGGTTGAAAACCTGTGGACAGAGAAAGGAATACTCTTTGAACGAAACATTTTGATATCTGAGTCTGATCCCCAGGGTTTGCCCGCTCTGCTTGGAAGAATAGAGGATAAGGCTGCCAACTGTCACTTATACGTATTAGGCCTCAGTCCGTTGTCTACTCCACAAAAGAAAACAGAGGATCTTTGCCCTTTCTCCTGTAGCACCTCTGAAACACCTTTCCAAAGGATTTATAGATGCATGTGGTAGAGTCCTTCCTCAAAACCAAGATGGTTCCTATGACTTTGGGTTCACAGTCCATATGCTCTGGCCACACTCTTTCAACTACCATGTGTGAAGGTGCAACCATGCTGGATCTGGGTGGTAAATTGCCCTGTGTCAGGAGCTCCTGACATGGAAGAATGACCACAAGTGGGAAGACCCAAAGAAGACCTGCAGGCTAGAGGAAGTGCAGCAAGTCAAAGACTTCGGTCCCCACTGCCTGAAGCCTTGCTCAACTTTCTGTTTTTTGGTGAGGCAAGGAGAATACACAGCAGGAACTTGGAACCTTGGTGTGGTCAACTGGAACACTGTATTGGAGAAGTGCCACTTGCTGTACAGGTTTGATTCTGTGTTCCTTATTCCTTGGACATGGTATGCCCTCTGCCATTAGGGAAAGGAGCTAAGACTCAGCCCAAATCATTATCAGGTCCATTTCCTTTACCAGGAGCTTTGAATGTATGCCCCCTTGATGATGCATGTGAACCTTTGTGGTCCCATGGACTGTCCTTACCCACCTGTGCTTGAATGTAGTCCTGAAAGGATTCCAAAGCAATCCTCACTGCCTTAAATTCCAGCTAATTTATGCTGGGAGGAGGGGCTCACTTGCCCTGCACTAGGAGTGAGTGGAGAGGCACCCCCCCACCCCCCAAAGGCTTGCATCTGTTTTTACTTGTGTCCCAATGGGAGTCAGAAATGATTTTTCCCTTGTTCATCCCCTCGTTCAACCACCAGTGCAGAAACTGGTGTAGTTGATTCAGGACAAAGATGGACAGGTGCATTTGTTGTGTTGTGCCCTTCTGATGGGGAAGTAACTGTTACATACAGCACTGATGTTACCTGTCTGTCATGGGTTTGGAGGGAAAGTTCCATCCTATGGGGAGTGGAAGGCATCAGGAGGAGGGGCTGTACTGTATATATATGTGGATCCTGTGTGAAGAAGCTGAGAGAAGCTGAGAGAAGAAGCTGGTGTGGGAGTCTGTGTGTCAGACAGGGTACTACTGTGTGTCAGTCAGTACCAACCTGATAGGTTCAGGTGTCTGTATGGGTAGCCAGAACTGATAGGTTCAGGGTCTGTGCTTTATTTAAAGGAGTTCTGTGTGAACCAAACTGGTGTATGTATGAGTGAGACTAAGCCACGTTACTGTATCTTATTCATTTGATCATTTTATTTTCCCTGTGTGTTATGTAAATAAACCTTATTCCTTTGTTTGTTAAAAATCCATTCCTGGTCTGTGTGACTCCTTACAGGGAATGGTTGGTGGCAGCTTAGTGAAACTGTGACATCCTCCAGTAGGTCTGGGGTTGTCACAGTAACAACCACTGAAGAAATCTGGAGTGAAACTTCCTTGGGATACATAGTCTATTGTGGAAATCATCTTGCCCAAGAGCTATAAGAAAATTATGACATCTGAGTTCAGGCTTTGTAGTACAGTACTTTCAGACTAGTGGACTGCAGCCTTTCCATCTTGCTGCTAGCGAGGAAAGCTTTGTCTTGGTCAGTGTGTATGAGCACATTCTGGTGTGTTATCTCATATGGGAATAGGTGGCTCTTCCCAAGACTGACCAGAAAACCATGTATCTGCAATATGTGCAATGTGGTCTGCCCATCCTGACTCTCTTGATTATGACTGAATTAGAAGATCATCCAAATGGAAAGAAAAATAGGCATTTTCTGGGTCCTCAAGTGTACTAGGGCTGCTAAAATCTTATGGAAGATAAATGGAAAAGAGGAAAAAGGCCAAAGACCCTATACTGGGTAATGCTTGTTTATAAGCAAAAGGCAAGATGTGGCAGTGATCTGAGTAAGTGTGCACAGGTACAGTACTCTTTTGTGAGGTCCAGGGAAGCCAGGGAAGCACCCTGCTGAAGAGATTTCAGGATGGAGTGAATGTCTCCACCCTGGATCTCTGCTTCCTGACATAGTTGTTTAACTTTTTCCAAGTCTAAAATTGTTGGTTAAACATATCCTTGCCCTCCCTGACATGGAGAAAAGATCCCATTATTGCCACTGGTACATCAACTGTTGGTTAAACATATCCTTGCCCTCCCTGGTACATCAAACAGAGGAATTTGTCTGTTAAGAAGAGGTGGAGGTAGGTTACAGAACTTGATAACTTGAATAGGGGTAGCTTTCTGGGGCCCAGATTTAGTCCATTCCCTTCTTATGTCCATAAATGGGCAACAGAAAAGCCATGTATGAGAGTGAACTGGCTCTCTTAAAGGTCTCCCTTGAGCCCTGCAGGGGAACCTGATTTTTTTCTATGATGGGAGGAAACAGGATCCTCGAACTCAGATCCCCAAATACTCAGTTTGTTTAGGTGGTCTCTGCTGGGACCCCCTGCACCTTTGAGTGGTCAGTGGGGCGAGAGCCTTTTGGAGCTGACTCAGCACTGTCGAGTGGGTCTCTCCTGATCAACTGCCCAGCTTATCATGCATCTCCGTTGTTCTCTGGGACCTAAGAAAGGTGCCTGGAGCTAAAGGCTGGTGATGACTCAAAATCTAGTTCAGATAGGGTTGGTCTTATGGGTGTTCTGCTACTGCCTGATTGGATGATCAGTTCTGCCTGTGATAGCAAGTTGGACAACCCATCTCTTGAGGATGTCCTCCTCTGCCACAGGAACAGATTTAAGTGTATGTCTCTACATTAAGCTGCTGTTAATGGTCAAAAGCGGACACCCCTAGTGACAAAAGGGAAACTGCCCTTTTGCACATCCACAGATTCCTGTCTTTCATTAATTTCAGTGTTGATCATTCACTTCCATATCTTAACATGTACACCAGCCACCTTTACTCAACATTTTGTTAACTTTATCCCATGATTTTGGTAACTATTATTCACTGTCACTCCATCATAAAAAGAATCTGAAAAATAAATCTATGACTGAATTTGGATATAATTGACTTGGACTCAAAATCGCAGCTCAGCAACAGACCCCACTGTGTGATCTTGATACAATTACTTGTCTTTGTCATTAACTGTTTGTTTTTATGGGATATAAAACACTTGAGCAACAGACTGCTTAATGGTGAAACTCCACCAGTAAAGGCTTTCAAGAGGCCATAAAATCACCTTTGCAAAAGTATCTAATTTGCAAAAGAATATTCCTTTGAATCTAGATAGGTGGGGTAAAAGCCAAATAAATAAATAATATAAATAAATCTAAACAATGATGTTGAACTACATGACACTGAAGTGTATAATCTCTTTTCTCTCTTTGTGATTACATTACAGTGGTGCCTCGCTAGACAATAATCCGTTCCACTGAAATAGCTGTTTAGCGAAAAGCATTTCCCCATTAGAATGCACTGAAACCTGTTTAATGCATTCCAATGGGGAAAGCCGCTTTGCAAACTGCCGATCAGCTGTTTAAATTGCTGTCTTGCAAAGCTTAGGTCCCGAAAACACCTGTTTGGTAGCGCAGAGGGAGCTGTCAAAATCGTCGTCTAGTGAAAATCCGTTTGCGAAGCAGGGACCAAACATTGTCCAGCAAAATTCCCCCATAGGAATCACTGTTTTGCGAATCACTATAGCGATCGCAAAAAGCCAATGTCTAATAAAAAAACTGTCATGTGGGGTAACTGTCTAGCGAGGCACCACTGTATTCTAGACTGACGCTTTTGCTCCTCAAGACAGAGATAGCTATTACTGCCATGGCCCTGAAATCTACCTGACAATCATGTCTGTGCAGATCTGAAGGAAAATATGCTAAGAGAAAGTCTGCTTTCAAAGCTGTAAAGTAGAGATGCTGCACACAGTCCCAATACAAGAAAGAGTGTTTTTTTTTTTTTTTATTTAGGCCCTAAATAAATCACATGTAAGTAACATGGTTACAACCACTATGAGAATCCCGGCTACCTGGTATCTGAGGGCAACAGGACGTATTAAGAACAATATTTTTCTACACAAAAAACAAAAAACTAGATTTTGTTTATTGACTGAAATTTCGCTGCTTCTTTCCTCAGCAGGCAACAATATTAATAAATAAGTAACAGGTAACAATAATAGAACTAGTCATTGTAACAAGAACACAACGTTATTTTCTCTCTTCTTCAGTCCTTTAGGGCACTTAACTTCAAAGTATAAATCTTTCATCTGTCTATTTCCAGGAAGATATTTAAAAAAATTAAAATGCCATATCTTTTTGTCTTTCTAGAGCTCTTAAATGAGGAGACTGAGTCAGTTCTTGCTATCTTCAGGGAAATCTGAAATGATAAAGATAGGTGAGTGAGGAAAATTTTGCAACTGTATTGTCAGGTATGAGGAACACAGAATCACCAGCATGCAATAAAACTTTCGTGGGCCATTAGGGAGCAACATTTTTTTTTTCTAGAGCAAAAGCAGTTGTTCTCAATGCCCTCTTTGTGGCATGTACGACATGTACCTAATGTTTATTGCCAGTGTCACCACCTACAGTTGTTTCCAACTGACCAAAATAATGAAAGGGTGATAATGAATGAGAATTAGTCCTCTAGAACAGTGATTCCAAACCAGGGCCCAGAAGTTGGGTCATAAAACACTGAGGGATGGTATGAGAAGCATACAGTGGTGCAAATGGCAGAGCAAAATGGATCTGGGACCTGGCTACCAAAGGAGGTTTTTGTATATCAGCAAATTTCAGAGCTTCCTCTCTACTATTTTTAATTCATCAGGAAAGTGCGACAGGAGGGAAGGAAAAAAAAATCACTTGCAGCTAGTGTGTGCATCTCTGGCTTGCAATCTCACCCATCTCTTTTAATCTGACAAGTCTGTTTGGCCAGGATGGAGTTAAAATGCTAAGAATCAGCTAATTGGATCCTAATTAAGATACATGGCAAAATATCCTCCTTTCTGGAGTACAATTGCTCCATTACTTTCTTTAAAGCAAACCTATTTTTTAATCTTTAAAGAAAACCTGTCTTTTGATTCTTCCTGTGATCTTTAGTTGCCCTGCAGCTCCCCCCCCCACCCATGAATCTATACGAGATATCATATTGTGAAACCTTTGCTGGGAAGCCTGTACCACAAATGCTAAATGTTTTAATAAAGTGGCTATTTTTCTCTTTTGAAAGGCTTTTTCTTGAGGATCAATATTTCAGCCCCTGCAGCTTAAATACTTTCCAAATGAAATAATTGGATGGGGCCAACCATTCTCTTTCAAGATACGCGAGATCAGTCTTTTCAATTTATATGAGCTATTTTAAATCTGAAGACATTCAGGGTCACTTGTTTCTGCATGGGGGTGGTTTTAATCATAACTTGAAAACCCTTCATCAAAATTCCCCCAAATTTAGTACAGAGAAAGAACAGACTGCTTACTAAACTTGCTAAATTTGATGCTGATCTAAAGCCCAGTTTAAAAGTTATATATTTTTTTTTTGTTTCGGCTGCCCCCATGTTTAGAATTGCCTTGTAGAATGTTGATTTGCTCTTGTGCAACAATAATATCACTAGTTGGGTTCTTTTTAAGGAGAAAGACAGAACAAAAATATTTTAAATAAATAAATACATTCTTATGCAGTTATAATCCCTGAAAATTTCATCCAGCACAAAATCTAATAGCTGGAATGCTATTAGATGATGCTACTAAAGCCAGCAGCATCAGTAGGAGCATTTAAGTTGCTCCACAGAAAAACTGACTGCACATACATACAAGGGAGCACCTAGGTTTGGATTGAATAATGGCAGTAGCTAGATAATGTAAAATGATAGAGAGTTTTAGAGTCCACTGTTGTGGAGTCACAGAAAAGGATACTGAGTTACCCTCTTGGCCTTTCAGACCTCAAATCGGAATTCAGTGGAACTCTGTCTGCAAATCAAATCACCCCCACTCCCAGAACAACTTTACTGCCATAATGTAGTCTTGCCACTAAAGACAGATTACACATTCCTCTATTAATCTCAAAAAGATTTAGGCCTTTACAACCACACCCTTCAAACTCTTGCACAATCACGACGACTTTTCTGAGTTTTTTATTACAGTGCTAGCAAAACTACAGTTAACGTACACTTCAGAAACTAAAGAAAGTACATATGCTTCACCTTTTCTAATGAGTGGGGAGAAAAATGGCAGAAAGTTATGTCACAAGATTCACCTATAAAAACTGCACTGAGGAGTAACATTCCACTCCTTCAGAGAAGCTAAGAGGCCACCCTATAGGGGGTAGGTTCTGCCCCCTCCTCCAGCAGCTTGGTACTAGCACTAAGTCTGCAAATTAGGAAGTGGGTAAGGCTGTGTAAGTAATGACCTGGGGGTTCAAATCCCAGGTAGCCGGCTCAAGGTTGACTCAGCCTTCCATCCTTCCGAGGTCGGTAAAATGAGTACCCAGCTTGCTGGGGGGGGGGGGCAATGTGTAGCCTGTATAATTAAAAATTGCAAACCGCCCGGAGAGTGCTTGTAGCGCTATGGGGCAGTATATAAGTCCAATAAATAAATAAATAAATAAAATAATGACTGTGATACTGGACAAAGTTCTTTCTAATCATTCCCTCCTGCATTTTTCCCCAGTATCAGTTGTCCCCACCTGTAGCATTTAATATAACTAGTCACTCACCAGCAATATTTTCATCATCTCTGGGGATATTATCAGCATCAGAGGCCCCTTCAAGTGTTGTCATGGGCTCTGGCTGAGACTGGTGATCTGGGCTTGAATCTTGAGCTGCTGTTGCCATTTGTTTGGCACTGAACAGCAGAGCAGATCCTGGCAATGCTGCTTTTGGCAGCTGAAGCAGACAAGAGCTGGGCTGCACACTCTGGCTATGGACATACTGTGGCTGTTCTGCAGAGTAACAGCCTGCTTCTGAGCTGGACAATGGCACCTGTGAGCAAAGCTGAGTGGCAACTGGAGCTCCTTGTACATAAAACTCATTCCAGGGCAGAGCTTGAAATGCAGGGATGTAGCCTAAGTAGAAAGGAGCAGCAAAGGAAGGAGAAAAAGGAAAAGAATAAAGACAAGGATGGAAGGAAAAATAAATCACAGTGAAATAGCAAAAAGGGACAGTACAAACAACCAAGAACTTGTTGCATTTTAGTCTCTGAATACAATGTAGCACAAGGCTAAAGAGAATCATAACCTAAAGTCTAAAATAAGATGTTAGCTTTTATCTGTCTTTTCTGGTATGCATATTTGTGTATCATCTTCCTGTTAGATTCCCAAGTTGATTTACAACACAAATAAAATAAAATAAATTAAAATAGAAATACAAAAAAACCCCAACAGGTAAATAAAAAGCTACAAAATCAAAGCAGCATAAAATAGTCAGCAAAATTAAAACCACGTTTTAAAAGCTTAGGAAGGTAAGGGCTGTACAAGAGGCTGAAACGGCAACAAAGCAGGAGCCATGCAAACTTCTCTGGGAAGAGCATTCCACAGCTTTGGCACTGCAGTAAGAGGACCTTCCTTTCGATAACCATACAGATCACATCAGCTGGCAGTAGCAACAAGTGCATTAACATGGAAAGTTGCATTGCTGTCATGTGTAGTCGGGCTGTTTCTGACTTATAGTGACTTTACTTAAGTTTTCAGAGTATGTGAGATCTGTAAGGAAATGTTTATCATTGCCACCTCCCAATGAGTTACCATATCTGACTAGGTATTTGAACCCAGGCAATTTATCAACTCCTGCTATTATTTATTCATTTAACTTAACTCAATGTATATACTGTCCCATTAGTGTCAAAGCATTATTCCAAGTGTTTATAAGCAATTAAACCCCAAACTCAACAACAGTAGACACTAAAAAAACAATGGAAATAACAGTAGCATAATATAAATATAAAAAAACCAATGGCACCAAACAAATTTTCACAGTAAAGCAGTAAAGGGGAGAGGAAAGAGCACAGTAAAGAGGCAGGGGGTCGCATTGAAGTATCCCTGAAAGAGTAGTGTTTTCAGCTATCTCTTAATAAGTACAGGGAGGGGGCCAGGTATAGCTCCTCCAGGAACTGATTCCACAGCCTCAGTGCCACAGCAGAGAAGGCCCTACCTCTAGTAGATATTTTTTGGCTCTCTTGGAGTGGCTATCCAGAGGAGCCTGGCCTAAGAAGATCTGGTAGGTTGGGCAGATAACATTGGGGAAAGACGCTCCGACAGGTAATGTGATTCCAAGCCACGAAGGGCTTTATATGTGACTGTCAAGACCTTGAACCTGATTCGGAACACAATGGGCAACCAGTGGAGACTGGCCAAGACTGAAATGATACAATCAAATTTTCTCGCACCAACCACCAGTTTGGCTGCCTCACTCGCTCTTGATAAAGCATGAGAAGATACAAAGGAAAATATGTTGCACCCTGTTTCTTACCATCCTACACACTGTTATGTAGAAGGAAGGTACACAGTCCTTCTATTATACTACATCTAGAGATGTGAAGGGAAAAAGTGGAAAAAATTGGGGGGAAAATATTTTTCTGTTGTTTTTTTTTCAGAAAAACTGGAAAAAATATGGATTGTGGAATATGTTATTTTACAATGATAAATAATATATCTACAATTAAGATGAAGACCTTAATGAAAGACTTCTGAGATTTTATGTATTTACATTCTCTCCAGAGATGTAAAATTTCCAAAAATTTCCTCTTTTTTTCCTAGAAAACAAATGAGAAAAAATGTGTTTTGTTTTGGGGACAAGAATTGGAAATTTTACATCTCTAACTACATCCAACCCTATTGTGATACTGTACTTTGAAATGGCCAGACAATTTGATTATCAGGCTCCTACACATTTCATAAATAAACTGAATTACACGTGCATGCCTTTTGGGAAGATGAACTCAATTCACAGATGTGCAAAGGCTTTCTTTCTCTCTTCCTTCCAGACCAGGGACGATTACCACCAGTACTGGGAGGAATTCAGCCAAAGGGCACTTACCTGAGCTGCTGGCTGCCGGCTGTATTAGGATCTGTCCTCCTATGGGGTTCTGTAGATACCTTTGAGGAGCCTCTCCTGTTCCATATGTCACAAGTCCCCCAGTGCCAGGTAGGGACAAAAAAGCTGTGGTGGATTTATTAGGTGCAGCTGGTGTGAAATGGACACTTGGCAACAGGTTGCCAGTAAGATGGACTGGGAAGTGCTGCAATTGAGACATCTGGTGCTGAGGGTACTGTTTAAATGGGTGTGCCCCAGGCTGAGTTACTGGGGGATAATATGATGTCTCTAGGTTGGCTGTAGGTTCCAGCTGTTCAGAGTAACTGCACTGCACAGGAGAGTTGACACTGAGGTAAAGGAAGAAACAGTTATTTTGGTAGAAGTGCAATCCACTCACTCTAAGATTGGTACTTACCATGAATATTCCTTCCAATCTGCCTGGAAAAAAAGCATCTTTGTGAGTTTAGGTCCCTCCTACTACCCAGGGAGGTAAGGATCACATAGCCATGAATTTTGGTCTAGCAGCGGTAGACCTCAGCACCTTTTCGAGTTTCACTCCTGGCTAAGCTAATGATAGAAAAAAAACTCAAGAAGTCTAAAGAATCATAGGTAAAAATATGTTTGTAGAAGAAAGAAGGGCATTAGCGAGTGAGATCCTTCCCCCAGCTGGAGTTCAGGCACACTGGATTCATTGCCTCAGTTGCCTCTAGGATTCAGTCCTCTCCTTCACATTTGGCTTACAAAACTGATTTGGCCTTGTGAGACTTCAGGCAGATTCTCATATGACGGCTAACTGGCCTCACAAAACGTCAGCAGGCTGTAAAATGGCTTGCTAAAAGTGTCTGGCCTTTTCCTGTGGCTATTGCCAGCCGAACCCTCCCCTTTTATGGAGTTCCTTAGGCATTCCCAGCAAACAGCCCTTCCAGGGCCAGGAAGGAATTTTTCATATCATTGTGGCATGTTTTTCACTTTCTCTTTGGGTTCCCTGGGTGGCTGTGTTTGTTTGCTTTCATGTTTGGCTGTAGTGTTGCTCTCTTGTTGCTGACGTCTTTGGTCTCAACTAAATCTTCTCTTGTCACAACTGATGTGTATGAAAGAGAGGAGAAAGCAAGGTCTAAAAACTGGCAGGGGAAAAAAAATCAGATCCAGATGTGGCAAGGGTGTGGTCCCCTCTGAGGAACACGTGCCCAATTTTTCAGATTGGTGACAGCAGGGAATTCGGTATGAGCCAGTCCCCAAGATGTTCCCAAGAAGCAAGCAGGGGGAATCATCTAGAATTCCACATATGGATCCCGCCCCCAGATTTCCCATCTATGTAGTATGTACTCCCTTATGCAAAGAATTGTGACTGTCCCTTTCATACATATGGGACATATGACTCATCCTTCTCAACATCCTTAGAGTGATCTAGGTTTTCAAAATATTGGGTCAGAGATGGTTTTGATTCCAACCTGTGTTGTTTGTTTAGTAAATTTTTCCTCTGGTGCTTGTGTGCTGCCATTGTACGTATGTATATAAATACACAGTATAGTAACTAGACAACACAGTCAACAAACTATATTACTACTTATTCTAATAAGTGTTTGTCTCCCCTTCAGTTAGATAAACAGATCCTTTCTTAGCAGGAGGGGGGGAGGCCTTGGAAGAGGGAGCTGAGAAGGTGACTGACATCAGCAAATCCAGCCAAGAATTCACCACTGCCAGGACAAAGGAGCAAGGAGGAAATATCAAATGCATATACCTGTAAGCAATAAACTCTTCTGTATTGTCTCTGTAGCTCAGACAGGAAGAATTCCTGGCACACTCCTTATGACATTGGCTAAGAGCACAGTTAAAGAGTTTCAGCCAATTTATGCTGTGACCTTTTTGATGGTAAATATAACAACCTTGTGGCATCTGTACTATGTTCCCCAGCACCTGCAGTGTCTTAGTGTATTCTCTGATGAGTGATTTATTTCTGGGAGTGGGGGGTGCAGGATGAGAGGAATCAAAGAAAGGTTGTCACTTGGGTCACTTGGCTGGCTTTTTGTCTTCTTTTCATTGGTGACTTTTTCAGAACTGGCTTCTTTAATTTATTTTTTCATTATTGCTAAGCAAGCCTGTTAAGCCTCAGAAAGCAAGTCAGTCATATTTTTCTGGCTGAGAATGCAGAAATTCTAAAATGGCTGAGGGCTCCCTCTTACAACCCCATAGCTGTGGAAAAGATGCAAGTTTGGGGTGCAGAAAGAAAGAAAAATCCTGAATTTGTAGTGGACTAACAAAGAGCACCTGCCAGCCTTTTCTTCTTCAAAAGAAAGATAATGAATCTCAGGCTGCAGCCTCCACCCTGCAGCCTCCAATTAGGCCTGTCCTCATAGTACTTAGGAAAAGATGAGACCCAGGTAAGGTATTCACCTCTCATGGACCTGTTGCTCTGGCAGAATTCTAATAAAGGCCAGCACTCTCTTGCCTGAGGAGAGGAGCCTAATGTGCTCCCTCACCTTATTAGGTTGAGAGGCCTCTTCCCTCTTTAGCACCAGGTAAAAAAGAACAAAGTGAGGAGGTAAGTAGGGTGGGGTGGGTGCTAGAGGCAGGCCCCAGGAAAGGAAGAAAATACTTTTTCCAAACAAGGCTTGAAGGAAAAGAAATAGAGAAGAACTTGCCTTTGTTTTAGGTAAAGGTTCTCCTTGACCATTTGTCTAATTGTGTCCGACTCTAGGGGGTGGTGCACATCTCCGTTTCCAACCCATAGAGCTAGTGTTTGTCTGAAGACAATCTTCTGTGGTCACATGGCCAGTGCGACTAGACACGAAATGCCGTTACCTTCCCACCGTGGTGGTATCTATTTATCTACTCGCATTTACATGCTTTCGAACCGCTAAGTTGGCAGGAGCTGGGACAAGCGATGGGAGCTCACTCCGTTGCATGGATTCGATCTTATGACTACAGGTCTTCTGACCTTGCAGCATAGAGGCTTCTGCGGTTTAATCCGCAGCACCACCACATCCCTTTGTTTTAATTGGCCAAATAAAAAGACCATTCCAAAATAAGGGGCCTATTGAGACACGTATTCAGAATACGGACGTGGTGGCGCTGTGGGCTAAACCGCAGAAGCCTGTGCTGCAGGGTCAGAAGACCAAGCAGTCGTAAGATCGAATCCACATGACAGAGTGAGCACCCGTCGCTTGTCCCAGCTCCCGCCAACCTAGCAGTTCGAAAGCATGCAAATGCAAGTAGATAAATAGGGACCACCTTGGTGAGAAGGTAACAGCGTTCCGTGTCTAAGTCGCACTGGCCATGTGACCACGGAAGATTGTCTTCAGACAAAACGCTGTCTCTATGGCTTGGAAACGGGGATGAGCACCGCTCCCTAGAGTCGAACACGACTGGACAAAAATTGTCAAGGGGAACCTTTACCTTTACCTATTACAGAATACAGGCATTATACACATCTGTGCATTTCTAGTCTGCTCTGCCCCAACCACCTGTTCTGGTTCAAGCCCAACAGATATGCATACTTGGGTGACATGTTTTCCTCAATACTAGAGGACAGACCCAAGTTACACATGTGCTAGGTTTTATTGCCATGATTACATGCAAATACTACACAACGGCTGGTGAGCAGGGCAGAAAAGTCCTGTGAAGTCCATTTGAGTCACCCCATGACAGAGGCAGCCATTAAAGATGTTACATCTGGGGTACACATAAAGATACATGATTTCGTGGGGATGGGAAGAAAGCTAATACTTTTATGAATGCAGTTCAGCTTTCTTTTTATCTCACAACAAACATTGTTTTTCCTCAAGAAAACACAACTCTTAACAGACTTTGCTCTTCTTTCCAGAGCCTGGATGTTACACATTGACTGAAATCTACTAGTAAGCCACAACTAGAATATACCATTGAACCAATGGAATTTACAAAAGAGTTGACTAAATCCCCACTGATTTAATGGGCATATTCTAGTTGCACAGTAGTCAAGAGTCTCCTCTAGCACCACAATTCTAAAGCATCAATTTTGCAGCAGTCAGCCTTCTTTATGGTCCAGCACTCACTTCCTTACATCGCTACTGGAAAAACCATAGCTTTGACTATGCGGACCATTGTTGGCAAAGTAATGTCTCTGCTTTTTAAGATGCTGTCTAGGTTTGCGATTACTTTCCTCCCAAGAAGCAGGCGTCTTTTAATTTTGTAGCTGCTGTCACCATCTGCAGTGATCATGGAGCCCAAGAAAGTGAAATCTGTCACTGCCTCCATATCTTCCCCTTCTACTTACCAGGGGTGATGGGGCGAGTGGCCATGATCTTAGTTTTTTATTATGTTGAGCTTCAGACCCTTTTTTGTGCTCTCCTCTTTCACCCTCATTAAGAGGTTCTTTAATTCCTCCTCACTTTCTGCCATCAGAGTGGTATCAACTGCATATCTGAGGTTGTTGATATTTCTTCTGGCAATCTTAATTCTTAATGTATTCTGATTAGGCATCCTTCAGTTTCGAGAGACTATGGTATGGAGGACTTTGAACAGCGTCTAGTGTCGCTGAGAAGGCCAATTCGAGAGTGACAATCCCTTTCATACTGAAGAAAATTACAATCTGTACCCGTCTAGCTCCCTGATTTTGCTGTTTTTGTGACTGCCTCTTTGCCTCGGCCTGTTGGACAAGGATCTCTTCAAATTGGGAGAGACCGTGATGCACCGCCTGCCTCCGGGCTGAACACTCAGATGTCAGATATCCTTGCATTGCAGCTGTGATCTCCCTCTGGGGCGATTTCCCTGCACTAATTCTCCATACAGGAGATCCTTTGGAATCCAACCATCAGCCATTCTCACAACATGCCCAAGCCAACGTAGATGTCACTGTTTCAGTAATGTATGCATCCTAAAAATTCCAGCTCGATCTAGGACTACTCTATTTGGAACTTTATCCTGCCAGGTGATATCAAAACTCTGTCGGAGACATTGGATATGGAATGTGTTCAGCTTCCTCTCCTGCTGTGCACAAAGAGACCAGGACTCACTGCAGTACAGGAGTGTGCTCAGGACACAGGCTTTATAGACCTGGATCTTGGTGTATGTCGTCAACTACTTATTGAGCCATACTCTCTTTGTGAGTCTAGAGAACATGGTAGCTGCTTTCCCAATGCGTTTATCCAGCTTGACATCTAGGGAGAGAGTGCCAGAGATCATTCAGCCAAGGTACACAAAGTCATGAACAACCTCCAATTCTTGTGTGGAGATGGTAATAGAGGGAGGTGAGTCCAGGCCCTGGCCCATGACTTGTGTTTTCTTCAGGCTGATTGTTAGTCCAAAGTCTTGGCAGGCCTTGCTAAAACAATTCATGAGTTGTTGGAGGTCTTCAGCAGAGTGGGCAACAATGGCTGCATCATCGGCGAAGAGGAAGTCCCGCATGCATTTCAGTTGGATTGTGGTCTTTGCTCTCAATCTAGAGAGATTAAAATCTAGTCCAGAGATAGACACCTTCTGTTGTAGTTCCAAAGGTGTGCTTCAGCATGACACCAAAAAAGATTCCAAACAGGGTCGGTGCGAGGAAGGTGGAGTACAACAGGACATGAAGGATGCAAACATCGTCACATTTTACAAGAACAAAGGAGACAGACGTGACTGCAATAACTACCGTGGCATCTCTCTTCTCAGCATTGCAGGGAAGCTGCTTGCCCATGTTGTGCTGAAGAGACTTCAGCTGCTTGCAGAAAGAATCTATCCAGAATCACAGTGTGGATTTCGAGCTAATAGATCCACCACGGACATGGGATTCTCCCTCAGACAGTTGCAGGAGAAATGCAGGGAACAACAACAGCCACTCTTTGTGGCCTTCATAGATCTCACAAAGGCCTTTGACTTGGTTAGCAGGGATGACCTTTTTAAAATACTTCCCAAGATTGGATGTCCACGTCGGATCCTTAACATCATCAGGTCCTTTCATGAGGGAATGAAGGGCACTGTAGATTTTGATGGCTCAACATCAGATCCCTTTGACATACGAAGCGGAAATTGTATTCTGCATATAAGTTAAATAAGCAGAGAGACAATATACAGCCTTGTCATACTCCTTTCCCAATTTTGAACCAATCAGTTGTTCTTACTGTTGCTTCCGGGCCCACATATAGATTTCTCAGGAGGTAGATAAGGTGGTCAGGCACTCCCATTTCTGTAAGAACTTGCCATACTTTGCTGTGGTCCACAAAGACAAAGACTTTTGCATTGTCAATGAAGCAGAAGTTCTCGGTCCACATACTGCTGAAGCCTACCTTGGAGGATTTTGAGCATAACCTTGCTAGCGTGTGAAATGAGTGCAACTGTACGGTAACTGGAGCATTCTTTGGCACTGCCCTTCCTTGGGATTAGGATGTAGATTGATCTCTTCCAATCCTCTGGCCACTACTGAGTTTTCCAAACTTGCTGCCATATTGAGTGTAGCACCTTAACAGTATCACCTTTTTAAAGATTTTTTTAGAATAGTTCAACTGGAATGCCATCACCTCCACTGGCCTTGTTAGCCATGCTAACTTGACATCACTCTCCAGGATGCCTGGCTCAAGGTCAGCAACCACACTATCTGGGTTGTCCGGGACATCCAGATCTTTCTGGTATAATTCCTCTGTGTATTCTTGCCACCTCTTCTT